GTTAATGTGGTGAAGAAAAACGAGCTATCAGAGGCTAGACGACCTGCCGTTGTGGGTTATAATATCATGGAGTAAGGAGAGTCGTAGTCAGTATTATTATGTCATTGATATATACTCACTGGGGACGAGGAGATATGCAAACCTTACCTATTGTAGGCATCATGGGAGCGAATACATCACTGAGCGTGGTTCTGAGAAAGTCTTTTAATAGTATAGTGTATATTGCTCTGTTATTAATCACGCAATATAGTATTTAGTCTTACTTAGCCCACTACAGCTCATAACGATTATCTTGGGGGAGGGGGGAGAAGGGAGGATAGGAGGCGCATCACATAATATGCGGTTGATGGAAAGAGAATGAAAGAAATGAACAGTAAATGCAGACTTAATTAGCATTAAGCATGATTATGACGATTAGTCCTCCTTACTTTTCGGGGACCAATATGCAAGACTAAAGAGATACTAAGCTCAGAGAGACCAGGCAGTGAGCTAGCACCCGCACCTAAAAATTCGAAGCAGTGTGCACCCAAATTTTGTTATCCCTTAACAAAATCCCAGTTCCCTAGAATTTTCACTGAGGCGAACGAAAGTGCTGTAGAAAGAATACACAATTTCTATAGAGTTATATACCAAAAGTTTGAGAGAATCATTTGCATGTTGTTTGGTTGATTATTTCTACTTTCATAGCAACAAAAGGCTGTTATAATATTGTAGAAGAATGAATCACTAATAGCCACTTTTTTGTGGGATAGCGAGTTCGGTCTATAGTAAAATGAAGAATGTAATTCTCTCTCTACTTTGATTCTCTTGTTCGATAAGAATCTTGCTTATCTGCACCATTCTTTCCTGTAGGCTCCAACGCCCAAATCCTGTCGGCCGTAATGGAGCCATGTGACTCGGACCCTTGTGTGCTCAAGCGTAAACACACGGCATTGATTCGATATTCACTGATATCTGGTACGTTTCGTCAGTACAAGTGTTCACTCACACCTACGGCAAGTTGGTCGCAAATGTTCTAGCCTGCTCAAGTTGCAAAGTGGCTTGTCTCATAGTTTCAAAAAATAATCGCTTTTGGTCGAAAAGTCTCTGCTCTGCACCTTTGATCAATTTATGAAGTCGTGCAATGGTAAAAAAAAAAAACAGCAGTGATCAACTTCTTCAGCAGAGACGTGTTTTGTCGAAAAGCAATTCTTTGCATCTGTTTGGTAGCGATCGTCTCGCGACTTCACTGTGCTGCAGCATTGGCAGCCAGCTTGGCCGCGAGACTTCTAAAAGTTGATGAGCTCATACTTGATTCCAGGCACCGCCGCAAAGCAGCTGCCAACAATGAACATTTACAATATTATGCTGCAAATTATGCATAATAAATAAATTGTTTTAAACTGCGTATTCAGGCACTCACAGTGAAAGCTGGCCTCGTTGAAGATGAAGTTTCAGATATTGAGGTACGATTGGGTCACTTATGACATTGTATAAGTAAGCCTTCGCCACAGAATAACAACCAAAAGGTTGCGTGCTACGGGGAATTAATAATTATGATTTCGACGTTACGAGTCACGGCTACGTCTTTTCATGTGCATAGCACTCGTGCAGTGGCCGGCTCTCAATCTGTATATTTCCGTCTCGCAGACATTCATAGTACATAAGTTTTCCTTTTCTTGTCTACTTTAGACCAAGACAGCGATACTGCTACCATTGATGCCCGAGTTAAGCTCTTCGGTTTCAACGTGCGCGTCCCCGGTTTAGAGAGAAATCTGTGCAAAGGTGCCGTTCAGTGCCCCGTCTTCAAGGGCAAGGCCTACAACGGAACCACGGAAGTGTACGTCCCCTGGTACATCCCCAACGTGAGTGTTCAGTCCTGCCGCCTCCTGCATTTCTCGACACCTGTCTAGACGCTTCCTAAAGCAGAAAGCAGAGGGGACACTATTGACACCATACTTCCGCTCATTTTATGCACGTTCATACTGGAGCATGGACAACATTTGCGGAGCGCCGATACCACTCCAGGTCCTGTCCTTACTTTGGCATACGCAATGTTCTAGCATGAACTGCGACAAAAAAAAAAGGGGGGGGGGGGGGGGGCTAGCGTAATTAAAATGCTCAGTCTAAAGAACAATGGTTGTCTCAGCCACTAAAAAGGCCCTAATTGTATGATTCCAGTTTGTGTGTGTGTGAGAGAGTGTGTGAGTGTGTGAGAGTGTGAGAGAGTTTCTGAGAGAGAGTGAGAGCGTGTGAGAGAGTGTGAGAGAGTGTGTGAGAGAGAGTGTGAGTGTGTGAGAGAGAGTGTGAGAGTGCGTGAGAGAGTGTGAGAGTGTGTGAGAGAGTGTGAGTGTGAGAGAGTGTGAGTGTGCGCGTGCGCGTGCGCGCGTGCGTGTGCATGTGTGTGTGTGTGTGGTGTGTGTGTGTGTGTGTGTGTGTGTGTGTGTGTGTGTGTGTGTGTGTGTGTGTGGTGTGTGTGTGTGTGGTGGTGTGTGTGTGTGTGCGTGTGTGTGTGTGTGTGAGGATTGGCATTTGAAAATGCTCCGGACAATGGTTAAGTAGTTATTCGTCGGCGTGGTCATGGTGGTTGCAGCGCATGGGCTGCCATGACCACACGAACCGTATAGAGGCCTTGGCAGCGTCGTAGATATTTTATACCACCAAATTACTGTAGCTTTTAGCTCTTTATGCGTCACCAGCCACGTCGAATGCGATAATATGCCTGATAAGATCAGTAGAGTATTAGCTGGGAGTTGTTTGTGCTTACTTGCAGGTAATACCTCGAAAAGAAACACGGCCAGGGAACGAAAACACAGCTTACAACAGCTTCTTGTCAACAAAATTTTAACTCTAAGTCAGCGCTTGTCTCGTGCGTTTCCAGTCAATGGAAGTGTTTGTCTCTTTTTTTTCGCACTGTTAACATCAATTATAAGACCAGTATACCGTTGTTCAACTGTTGCCGAGCGCTAATAAGTGCGAAACAGGCACGATTCAGGTGCTCAATGACAGCCGAAAAGTTGCAGCTGATTAATACGTTTTCTCAGGTAACCCACAATGCAGACAATATTGGTTTACAAATATCGGTCAGAAGTATCCTCACGAAAGACGTCACCTGGTGTTGCTATAAGGTCATTCGGTTGCTGGATTCTACATTACCGTGAATTATACAGAGAGAAAGATAAGTAAATGACAACGAATGTAACTTACTAGGGGACTCTTTGAACGTTATTCCACAAATAAGAACACTTATTAGAGAATTGTCACCATTGAAAAGAATGCTGGCTTTGGTTACATTCGTTTAAGATAAAGTTATCGAATTCTAAGAAAGTCGTTTACAATTGAGAACTTTCAAACAAAAACGGAACTATCAGTTACCATCATGTATGTCAGCGTTATTAAGAGCACATCACGACATCGTACAGGCTGTATCGAATGACGCATCCTAAGCTGGCAACCATTCGCCGTTGTGGAGTCGTGGCTGCCGAGCTTCGCTGCTGGACCGAAAGTAGCGGGTTTGGTCCCATTCGCAGCGGTCGCGTTTCAATGAAGGTGAGCTACTAGAGGCTCGTGCAGTGTACGTTGACCGTGCACGGTAGAGGGACACCAAAGGCAAATAACAATTTGCGGCAGACTGAAATATCAATGTTTGGGAATGTCTAAATGGTCAAAATTATCCACATCATTCCTCTGCTAATTAAGCAATTAATACGACACCAGATGCGCTGCGGTTACGACATTCGGGAAGTGACCCCGATTACGTCAAAGTGTCTGACAAAAATTGACCACAGGTAATCAAACCAGCTGCAGTAAAAAAGAACCTTTCGTGCATTACAACAAGTAATAAAATGCTGCTTTTCCGTTTCTGTTTGAATCACAGAAAAAAAAAGAACAGCCTGGCGTTACTACGGAGAATGCCGCGAGTGGTTCAAAAGTTGTGTTTTCGCCTGGTTTTTGGCTGGATAGGTCGTTTCATCTATCGGTGCCCAGTTGAACCATGCAAGCGGAACATTGTTTAATGGCCGTTGTGGCTCCCGCTACTTTCACTCTGCTGCTGCTATAGTGGGTGCCGCGAAGTAAAGGGGGGTGACGTTGGTCAAGGCAACTGCTACGTCAGGAGGTCTGTTTCCGGCTAATGATTTGAAGCGCGCTACCGTTGTGCGTACCACTAAAACATGGTTTTATTTCAAAATATGCATTTCCTTACTACGAAAGTAGCACTACTAGGTTTCTGGAACGCTATTTCAGCAATCAATGTGACTTCATATTGACGTCAAATTATTCGTTCCCGACCAGAGAGATAAAAATAATAAAAATGCAAATAAACGCAGGGAGGTTAACCAGACACGCATCCGGTTTGCCACCCTGCACTGGGAAACACCTATTATAATTGTCACAATGCAGAAACAGCAGCAGTCGAATCCAGGAAACTCACTTTAATTGTATTAGAATACTGGCAAACTGATCGGGAGAGAACCTCGTCTTCTTCACTCGCTGCGCGTGTTCTTCGTTGTCCTCTTCGCGCTGCATATTCAATGTGGCATTTGCCCCCCTCCAGAGAGCAGCGTCCCGATGCTCTTCTACAAAAGACGGTGTAGTAGATGTATGGTGTAATCAGTCCGAAAAGTAGGGCTTCATTCGCACAACATGCACGATTTCTGGTTTTTGCTGGCGAGTTGTCGAGGGGTTGTCAGGAACGACCACGTAATTAACGTCACTCAGGCGTTGTAAAACTGTGTAGGGGCCAAAATACTTCTTCAGCAATTTTTCAGACAGTCCCCGGCGGCGGATAGGACTCCATACCCAAACTTTGTCGCCGGCCCGATAGACGACATGTCGGTGTCGCAGATTATAACGTTGGGCGTCATAATTTTGCTGCTGGGTGATTCGGACGCGCAAGCTGCCTCGCTTCTTCTGCTCGTTGGGTAAAAGATGCAGCGTCCAAATCGATGTCATTGCAGTCGTGCAGTAACATGGCGTCAAGCATCGTCGTCACTTCACGGCCATGAAGGAGACTGAACGGCGTTCTTCGTGTAGTTTCTTGCTGCGCTGTATTATAGGCGAACGTGATGTACGGTAGAATGTCGTCCCAGTTCTTGTGATCCACGTCAACGTACATACTCAACATGTCGGCAATAGTCTTGTTGAGGCGTTCTGTTAAGCCGTTGGTTTGTGGATGATAGGAAGTGGTTTTCCGATGGGCGGTTCCACTGAGCTCAAGCACTGTCTTCAGAGCGGGCGTGAAAGCGGCACCTCGATCCGTTATTATGATTGTTGGAGCACCATTGCCTCAGGATGATATTTTCTACGAAGAATCGTGCGGTTTCAAACGGCGGTGCCACTTGACAAAGCCTTTGTATCGGCATAGCGCGTAAGATAACAGTGGCGACTATTACCCACTTGTTGCCAGCATGGGAAGTCGGATATGGTCCAAGGAGATCCATTCCATTTGGGCAAAAGGTGCCGTGGGCACTTGAATTGGTTGTAATAGCCCAGCTGGTTTAACGGTGGCGATTTTCGTCGTTGGCAATCGAGGCACGTGCGCACGTACTGCTTCACAATAGCTGGAAGTCTTGGCCAGTAGTATTTCTGTTTGATTCTGGCCAATGTGCGTGTGTATCCGAGATGACCAGACGTTTGGCTCTCGTGGCAAGCAAAAGTATCTCCTCCCGAAGTGACGTCGGAACGACAAGTAGGTGGGTACTTCTCTGGGAGAAAAGTTCTTCTTATAGGAACTACCACTACGTAAGCAGAATGACGGCAGGCTCCTTGCAATCTTCTAGGGACGGTTGTTGTCCGGCCATTCAAAAATTCAATAAGAGGAAGCAACTCCTGTCTTCTTTCTGCTTGCACAAATCGTAGTGGTGTCAACGACTCCTACAAACGCCATACTGTCATCTTCTGTGTCCTCTTCGCGCTTTATCGGTGACCTTGATAAGCAATCGGCGTCGGCGTGCTGCCGTCCGGACTTATACACGACCGTCATATCAAACTCTTGGAGGCGTAAGCTCCACCGTGCGAGCCGACCAGACGGGTCTTTCAAGTTGGTCAGCCAGCAGAGGGAATGATGGTCGCTGACTACGTGGAAGGAACGGCATAGAGGTACGGACGAAACTTCATAACCGCCCATACGACAGCAAGACACTCTTTTTCCGTTGTGGAGTAGTTGGACTCGGCGCGGGAAAGCGTCCTACTAGCATATGCGATCACACGCTCGGCTGAGTCTTGCCACTGGACGAGTACAGCGCCTAAACCCACGTTGCTGGCATCTGTATGGACCATGGTAGGAGCATCCTCATCAAAGTGAGCAAGCACAGGCGGAGTCTGCAGGCGTTGTCGGAGATCGTCAAATGCCACCTGTTGATCGTCCCCATGTGAACGAAACGTCTTCTCTTGTGAGTCGTGTTAACGGCGAGGCTATGTTGGAGAAATTGGCAATAAACCTTCGGTAGTATGCGCATAGGCCAAGGAAACGCCTGACTGCTTTCTTGTCTTTTGGTACCGGAAATTTTCTGACGGCCGCAATCTTATCGGGATCAGGTCGAACACCTTCATGGCTCACCACATGGCCTAAAAATTTAAGCTCCTTGAAACCAAATGACACTTCTCGGGTTTCAGTGTCAGGCCGGCAGACCTTATTGCCCTAAATACCGATAGCAGCCTGCTCAGGTGTTCCTCAAATGTTTTTGAAAAAACAATGACGTCGTCCAGATAGACCAGACATGTCTGCCACTTAAGGCCTGACAGAACGGTATCCATCAGTCTCTGAAATGTTGCGGGGGCTGAGCACAATCCGAATGGCAAGACTTTAAATTCATAAAGCCCGTCAGGCGTTACAAAAGCCGTTTTTTCTCTATCTCGCTCGTCGACCTCTATTTGCCAATACCCACTTTTGAGGTCCATTGACGAAAAGTAGCGTGCATACCTCAGCCTGTCGAGTGAATCATCGATGCGCGGTAATGGGTACACGTCTTTCTTTGTCACACGGTTCAGCTTGCGGTAGTCGACACAAAATCGCAAGCTTCCGTCTTTCTTTTTAACCAGCACTACCGGCGATGCCCAAGGACTTCTTGACGGCTGGATGACGTCATCATCGAGCATTTTCTTCACTTGTTCCTGGATTGCTTCACGCTCTTTCGGTGCTACGCGGTATGGGTTCTGTCGTATTGGCCTTGCCGTCTCCTCCGTTATTATCCGATGCTTCGTCAGTGGCGTTTGACTGACCCTCGAGGTCGATGAAAAACAGTCTTTGAACTGGTGAAGAAGATCTACTAGACGCTGTCTCTGCGCTGGTGACAAATCCGAGCTTACGTCAATAGGTGGTGAGCTGACGTGGCTTGCGGCTCGTCCTGTTGTACTACACAGCACTCGCGGATTTCGGTGATCTCGTCGAAGTAGGCGACTGTAGTGCCTTGTGTAATGTGTCGTCGCTCGTTGGTAAAATTCGTCAACAGAACCTCTGCTTCACCGCACACAACGTTGACGATACTTCTGGCAATTGCAACACCGCGAGAGAGTAGGAGCGTCAATACTTGTTCAGCGATTCCTTCTCCAGTATTCTGCTCGCTGCACGTGACTGGAACAAGGCGGCACGATAACGGAGGTATGGTCACATCGTCAATGACTCGTAGGGATTTTCGGTGTAGCGCCGCGCTTTGATCCGCTGAAAAGGTCAGTACACCGTCCGGAATATTGATGATGGCACCATATTCACGCAAGAAATCCATCCCCAAGATTGCCTGCTTGCAACACTCAGAAAGGATAACAAAAGTTGCGACGAAGGATGCATCCCCTATCTTCATTCTTGCGGTGCACTTTCCGGTAGGTGTGAGTAGCTGCCCTCCAGCTCCTCTAATCTGCGGTCCTGTCCATTCCATTCTAACCTTCCTGAGCGTGTCTGCCAGACTCTCACTCATTATCGAGAAGTCCGCGCCAGTGTCGACCAATGCCATGACGTCATGTCCGTCAATCGTAATTGCAACTTCGGCAGTAACAACCCCATCTTTCGTCGATTCATTGAAAATGTGTCTCTCTTCGCTCGGCAGTAATGGGGGATTTTCAGCACTTCGACGATTCGCAACCTTCCCCCCTAAGGTCGCTGCTTTTAGTTTCCCCGGCGTGGACTAGGAGATCTCCCTTGGCATGTCAGTGGTGCTCCGTCTAGAGGATGGAGAAAAACGCCCAGGAGAGGGTGAGCGTGACCGAAACCCAGGAGGAACATCCCGCGGGGTCATGACACTCGTGTCGACGTCAGATGTTCCGTTGAAATGGCGCCGAGGAACCGTAGAAGGAAATCCTTGGTACCCTGCGGCGCGATACGGGCAATACCGAACGATGTGGCCTGCTTCCCCACAGTGAAAGCACAGGGGCCTATGATCAGGGGTACGCCAGATGTCAGTTTTGCGAAGTGGTGGCCCTCGGCATCGAAGTTTCTCTGTAGTACCAAGGCGCTGTCGGCGGATGTTGCTGGTGGTACTGATGTGGTGTCGGCACGTTCGCTGGCTGTCGGCGGACTACGTCTGCATAGCTTGCCCTGGGAGTGCTCGTGTTCAGCTCAGGAAGCGAGAGCGCTTGCCTGATCTCCTGGCGTACAACTTCCGTCACTGAGGCGATCGCGTAGTCATTCGGTTTGGCGACGAGTTTCTTGACCTCTTTTTGTACGATTTCTCGTATTAGTTCGCGCAAAGAACCTTCGTCGGGTGTTGTTGCTGTGGTAGAGGCTGCCACGCTGATCGGTGCACTGTGGGTTGGGCGGTCATACTGGCGATAACGTAGATGCAGTGCGCGTTCGATAGATGTCGCCTCCTTGGAGAATTCATCCACACTTGTAGGCGGGTTTCGTACGAGACCAGCGAACAGCTGCTCCTTAATGCCCCGCATGAGGTGGCTAACCTTTTTGGTTTCGGGCATATTAGGATCTGCTCGACGAAATAGCCGCGCCATGTCCTCAACAAACATCGTAACGGATTCATTTGGTTTCTGAATCCGTGATTCGAGGAGACGCTGTGCGATTTCTCGTCTTTCAGTGCTCGCGAACGTGTCGAGAAACTTCTGCCGGAACTCGTCCCAAGACGACCACACGCGATTCGTGAACCACGTTCGGGCTCCGTCTTGAAGCGGAAAATAAACGTAGCCCAATTTCTGTGTGGTGTTCCAACCGTTAACATTCGCTGTGTGCTCGAATTCCTCGAGCCAGTCATGTGCATCCTCATATGCGTTTCCGTGGAAATCAACCGGAAGTCGAGGGTTCAAAACAGTCACCTGTGTCGTGCTGGGCTGGACATGTTGGGGCCAGTGCTTCCAGGCGCCGTCATGCTTTCTGGCACAGTCACGCTTTCCGGCAATGGACCAAACTCCGGGCTGAGGCCTAACAGGCGCCGGCTGCTGCGGTGAACGGGGGTGTCGATGCGCGGAAGTCTTTCTTGACCAGATGCGGGGCTGTTGTCAGGCGTCCCGAACATGTACCCAGCACCTCCACCAGTGTCACAATGCAGAAACAGCAGCAGTCGAATCCAGGAAACTCACTTTAATTGTATTAGAATACTGGCAAACTGATCGGGAGAGAACCTCGTCTTCTTCACTCGCTGCGCGTGTTCTTCGTTGTCCTCTTCGCGCTGCATATTCAATGTGCAATTATAGTATTTATGACATGCGGGTGCATGTAAGAATTTTTGGGAAATTTGGCTTTTACTCATTCTATTGTTTTTCAAGTCTGATGAAAACTGTGCGGCTTGGGAAATGACTGCTCCCTTAAAGCGACCCTGAAATATTTTTTTGAAGTTTTGTCAGCGTTTAGGCTAAAGCATCATCACACCATTTGCACCACAAATTTAATGACAAGCCATGTACCAAGGCCGCTATCGATAATTATACCCTCCTTCTTACCTCTTCCTGACCTGATGAGGCACGCTGGCATCACTGGTGATCGCAGAGCTCTCGTGTCACATCGCAAACACGATCGCGGAGCCGTTCCTATCTGCTCGGAGAGGCGCCGCCACTCTACCAACCAACCTTACTTCCGCGTATTCTACGTCAATGACAGCCAATCAGACCAAACGCCAAGGTGATGTGGCTGATGACGTGTTCTGGAGAAGAGCAAGTCATCAGGAATGTCAGTGACGGCACCATAGTCTAGTGAAATAAACTAACCAATGCGATTGTTCCAACACCCCCATTGGCACTGTTGTCATTACAAATAAAAAGGGCTCTGACCAACTGAATCATATTACATATTGCACAAATGTTGTCTTTTCCTCTCTTTTATGTTGTTTTTTTATCTTATTGTATTTTATTGGCCGTGAAATTTCGTATCTGCCTATACACACGGTTTGGCCTGTATTATTATACCCATGTAATTGTTGTTTTTCTCATGACTAACTTCATGAACCACCCTGCTAAAATCCCCGAATGCCGATGGCAGTACCTGTAAAATCGGCGTTTCTTTTTTTAAATGCTTTCAACAAGTCCTCCCCCTCCCCTCTACCAAAAAAAAAAAAACTCCTCGCTACCGGCCTGACTTAAGTATTCATTGGTACTTCATTTCATCAATGAGGTTAAATAATTAGGCTGTTTATCAGCCAGAAGAAAGTAAAAACAGGTTAGTACTTGTTTGAAAACAGCGTAGTTTAGGCGCCATTTAAACATGTCTACATACGCCTCATTGATACTGTCAATATTTATATATAGATGATCACTAGTCAAGCTGCAGTATAATTATGAATAATATTTAAACTTGAATAAAAATTAATGGTGGTGGTTACTCCAGCGTACTGGGAACAACATTTATTATATTTGTTCTTCATAAAGTCGCCCCCCACTTTTTTAATCACGATAGCGTTAAAGAGCTCGTGTCGCTGAAAACGCGCCGCCGTCGTCGCCCGATTGGTTGCGAGCGAAAAATTGTCTGTGACCGAAAATAAAGTTACCGAGATAGCCGCGGGAGGCCGCTACTTGTCTACGCGTGCGCGCGTGATCACACTGAGAAGCTGCGCACTCGAAGAAAAGTGCTCAAGGTCACGAGGCGCGGTAGTTTCCTTGCCCTGCCACCCCTCCCTGCTTAGCTTCCAGCGCTTTCGTCGGGACGAGAGAAGACATATGCAATTGCAGCATGCGACAAACCTTTGTAACTCCACTCGCACTGGACGCATTCTTAAAATTTTCGTTGGCGTCGAATTCGTGAGTTTATAAGCTCTCCTAATGAATTCATTCAAAAAGTGTTTCAGGGCCCCTTTAACACATTTTGTTCGACAGTTGTCACGAGAAAACGAGCCCACTCGGCGATAATAGCGTACGCTGGTACAATCTACTGTGTGCGTGTTTGTGTGCATGCGTGTGTATGTAACAAACATATGAATAAGTATGCTCTTAGCGCTTTAAGGGTGCACTAGGGGCCGGATTTCGCTATCGTGTTCATTTCTTAAAGATGAAGCTTAAGAGTCCCCGCCCCCCCTTTTTTTTTCAAATGCTGCTGCGCGTGACAGTGGAGACAATTTGTATACGAAAAATCTGTTAGACAGGCCACTGCCCTTGTTCTATCCGAACGTTCGTGTAGTTAACTCGTTCTCATATTTAAACATTTTAACTTTTCAGATGACGCGGGATGTGGACGTCAAAATTATTGGTGACAAAGGCCTTAGCATTTGCCTAAAAATGAAGGTGACGATCAGATAATAAAGAGTCACGTTTATTTATTAAAAAATGTGCTTGGAATGTTTGTTCTTCATTGTGAATAAATAAGGGAATAAGCTACTTCAAAACCGGTAACCTGGAAAAGTGAAAAAACAGGCTATAATTTTTTTTCGTGTACAAACGCACATACACCACACAAGCCCTGAACATACTAAAACTTTGTGCATGGCATGCACATGTTCACGTTACCATCCATGCGCACTGCGCTAGAAACCTTACTACGAGTACTTTTCCACAGAAGCCCCGCCGCGGTGGTCTGGTGGCTAAGTTACTCGGCTGATGACCCGCAGGTCACAGCTAGGATCAAATCTCGGCTGCGGTGGCTGCATTTCCGATGGACGCGAAGATGCTGTAGGCCTGTGTGCTCAGTTTAGGGTGCACGTTAAGCACCCCAGGTGTTCGAAACTTCCGGAGCCCTCCACTACGGCATCTTTAATAATCATATGGTAGCTTTGGGACGTTAAACCCCACAAATTAATCAATCAATCATACTTTCCCGCAGAAGTAAATTGAATGGAGTTTCATTTTAAGTGAAGGGGCCAATGACTCTCGATCGAAAATTCACCGCGTTCTGCCAGTTTGTGCCTTGGACAGCGGAACATCGGTCATGTTGCGTTTTTCTGCTCCACGTTCTCTCAGATAAAAATAAAAAAGGGGGGACCCATCAGCTTTGCCTTTAAGAGTCGAACGCGATAGCGATATTCTGTTTCCAGTGCGTACTTCAAACACGTAGTGTATGAAACTTTTCTAACTTTCTATGCACCCACTACGTGACCTATAAGGGTTCAGCAACGTTTGTGTTTTTGTAGTGGGTGACTGGCTTTGAACTATAAAGCCATTATCATAATCCCATGTTCTGACGTCTGATGGAAATGCACGCTTGTACCACGCATTTTTAAAGCAATATTTATTGCTGTATTGTGAAGCATGTATGCAGGACGCGTGTATTTGTCAGTGTTGTACACAGAACCCGGTTCCAAGGAACGATGCTCCGTACGACGTTCATGGAATGTCGTTTCAGGAACTAGTTCATTTTTCGATGGACGAAGGAACGCCACCGTTCCATCGAAGATCAGTGGAACTGTAAAGGTAACACATTACGTTTACGCAGAAATGGCGTTCCTTTTGTAAACGTTTCTTAACATTGAACGGGTGCACGCACGCAGCGGAACAGGGCGGATTGGTGACTGCGTAATGTGGAAGAATCTACCACTCATCTGTCACTGGACTATGCTGCAAAGGCGCCCTCCAGAAGTGCAGGAAAGTGCACGTTTGCTGTGACCAACCATATCAGGGAAGAGCATTTTGATTACTTTTTCTATTAGTGTAATCCAGTGTGACAGCAATGAAGAGACGTTCTGGAGTGCAGTAGTATTGACATGCCTTTGAGAGTTTTTACTTGACATTCGATAACAATCGAATCCCATTGTAAGGCTGCCGCCAGGAAAGGACGCACTATTTTTAATCTCGGGCGACTTTTCCCGTTGGCCTACTCATAAGTAGCGCGCGCGTGTGTGTGTCAGTTACAAAACACAGCGCAATATGTCTTGGACGCCTTTCGTGGGGTTTTCAAAAGAATAATACTTACTATAAAACTGCCGAAACAAAATGTTATAAAGTTACTCGACGTATAAATATACCAGAATCCCCGACACATGTTGCGTCTATATGACTTAAGGTGACAAACACCTTATGAGCTATCTTGTACAGGTAAGCTATATGTTAAAAAAGCAGTTCCTGATTCCACAATTGGGGCAATCACAGAACAAATGCTTTGTAAGATTTATACGAAAAACAAAAAAGTACAAACCTAGAAACAATGGCAAAATCCCGAGATTCTCCCCTACATCCACACACACATTAGTGCGATTAGTTGAGGAAGAACCTGACATTCACAAGATATCACACAGACTAAAGGAGATTGCCAATGAACATGGCGTGTCAGTTTTATTTTCAAATATTTCTTTTTTCTAAACAACCCCTCAAAAATTGCTAGAGTAGTGCAAGCTAATAACACATAAGGACCCTAAGGAAAAAAGAAATGCAAAATATAAGCCAAAAACCAAGGTTGGTTCAGTGATGTAGAATTTTAATACAGCTTGCCATGAACGTGTGGAAGAAAATATATCGGACAGACCTTAGGATGTGCTAACAATAAACTTAAGAACACGGGTGTAGTTGTCCGCAGGTTACCCACTCCGGGAATTCAGCTATTTACTGTTACCAATGCAACTGCGTACCTGAGTTTGACCGAACAACAATTATAAACTGGGTAAAGGACAACAGCAAGAGAATAATTTTGTGAAGCTGTTCCCAGGGCCCCCCTGAAATGAACACTCGTCAGTGAGCCATCATTATTCTTTCACTGAAATCAATTTCGTGATGAACGTCACATATGTGGGGTCACGCCCACTATCTCTTTCCGCGTGCTTATTTGAACTTTCATTTATAATGGCTGCGCATGAACAATAAAACCAGTTACTGTTAGCACTCGTTGTGGTAAGCTATATGTCCTAAGTACTTTGTAATCTGCCATTTTCTCCCTGTCGTAAGCTCATCGCCAAGCCAACATGAAACAACTGGCCCCTTTTGTCGCATTACAGTAATAATGAAAATGGTTTCTTTCAACCTCGGTTGATATCCGTATTTGTGAGAGCTGAAAACAAGAAGACCACCAGTCGTCAGTCTCATGCGGGAGGAAACCAACAAACTTCCCAGTTTGGTGGCTGATAGTTTGCTCATTCTCCACTCTCGTGCACGTACGCTATACTACCACTGGTAATTGCTAACCGAAATGATTCCTGTATAAAATGAAAGATCACACGCCTGGTTATGGAAGCAATTAAGACACAGAGAAGCATGTGATGACGCAGGCATCTCTAAATAATATTTTATGTGATTGCCAACGCAGGGTACACTAGTAGTAATAAAACACGGGCATACGCAATCTAGAAAAAAAGGAATTATTCGTTGACGAACACGTTACGCAATAACACATTTTTCTTTCTTTTTTTTCAACAGAGAGGTACAATACTTTCGTACATGATGAAAGCACAGCTCGTGTAATTAGCTTCTACAATGAAAATTAACTGCTGGTTAGATATCCCCTTGCTCTTCCCTACAACGCGAAGGCGGGAAACAGGCGCCGACGAAACGTTGAAGCAACGTTTTGGAAACACCACAGCGGCCATCTTCCCAATGCTTCATGGTGAACGAGGCCACCGTTCAGTAGGGCCGAAACGTGTTTTTTTTTTTTTTTTGCATGATTGGTCGGCGCGTTTGATTTCCCGCTTTGAATTTTCCCGAACAGAGCGGTTTCCGTTGAAGCCTGGATTTTTTTATGCAGCATTATCGGTACCTGTGTCACATGACGTTGCGAGTGGTACTAGTCAGGCTGTGGAAACGCAAATACACCCACTGTTGGAAGTTATAAGTCTGTGCATTGGAACATGTGCTCTTACCCACTCGGACCCTCTTTTTTCGTTGAAGTTTACTGCAAAGGGTGAAATTTCTTCGGCCGTCAGAATGCTTCAAGTATGTCATCTTTCAAACCCGATATCTTTGTAACTTCTGTGAGTGGTGTCTCACTTGAAAACAGCTGTGCCGGACGGATCACGGGCGCTAAACTTTTTTTGCGCTGTGCTGCATGCGCGCATGCCTTCACCCACGTTGTTCCAAGTGTTGTCAAGCAAGCCCATGTTTCCGGAGACGAGCGAGTATTCCAGGATATTTCCCTTTCATATACTTAGTACCACGAGTAAATCGCGAAGACTATGTATTTCCTACTGCTTCACGAGAGGTAAGTGAACTTCGGTGCAGTTCTGCGGTGTACCTTCATTTGTGAAAAATAATTTGAGCAATTTGAATTTGCACGTTTTTTTTCATTAGAAAAAATGTCGAAACATGGCCATACCCCTATTAACCAAGTACCCGAGCAGCCTCAGATATTTTCCTATTGAGGGTAACTTATTAACTTCATTTGATCAGAAGGCTGCATGTGAACTCGTTGTGTATCGTGTGGTCGACGAAAACACGACGTCAGAAGCGCGTTCGTTCGTTTAGAGAATTTCATCTGGTAGAAAAGCTTGGAACGTGCACGTTTGATCGGTGATCGCTTCTAGTTTTTCGTGATTGGTTTGGTTTGTGTTCATGTTCGTATATTTGCGATTTCTGGAAGTATTGTATTGTTTCTTCGTTCACTATACGAATGTTTTTTAAAGGCAAATAAACAATTGAGACGATTTCACTATGTATTGAGGAAACCAGTTTTTAAGAAACCTTCCCATTGGTCAACTATTCAACGTAAAACAATATCTATTGGCACCGAAGTGTTCAGAAAAGTTCACTGGGGCCGAATGAAAACTTCAGTTAAGAACGTACGCACATACTTCATTAAATGTACTTGAAAATAAATGCGAGAAAATTGATATGCATCAGCCTCTCGGGAGCAGCGGATCGCTCGCTTCTATACAACTCCATATCTATTATATGGCAAGGGTATTTCCGTGTGCCGCCGGGTAAATATTTTAATACAGAAGTGGCCGAACAACTCATCACTCACTTTCCTTGAAAATCAACGGGTGCAAATGTGCGAAGTTCAACATGTTTGTTTCTACAGATCTTTAGGGGGAAAAAAGAAAGTGGGGGGGGGGTCAACTTCGGTTAGAAAACGCAATAGAAAAATGCTCTCTTAAGGGTTCGGGAACATTCTTTTTTTTTCTTTCAAATACTGGCCATATATTCATTGCCACTAGCTGGCAATCAATTCAAGAACATGCCCTTCAAAAACCGACAGTTCAAAGAAACCTTCCATGGGATGTTAAGGTAAGTATGCACTAGTGTCATGTCAGTTCCTACGCTAACACAGCAGAATGATTTAAGGATAATAGCATATATTCTACAGGTGTAGAGCACTGACGAAGACCCCAATTCTCACAGCTGGCATTTTGGAGCAACCATTTTGTTCACTGTGATACTGCACAACTTCCGTCATATAAATATTGCCTACAGCATGAAAA